AGTGTAAAATTTTGCTCTCATTTTTGCTGTGTTAACCGTTAAGTCAACCAAAATGAGATCAACTGGAGTATTCAAAATAAGTTACATCATAACAGCAAATTTTGATTTCAATTTGATTTTCAGCTTTGCTCGGGTAGCCATGCTTTACCGACAGAGCTATGGGAGACCCCGTCTGTGTTATTAACGTATTTATTCGGTAGTTTAAAAACCACCATGCACGGGCAAGAGTGTCAGCAGCAGTAAAAGCATGTACCGATTCAAACAACTACAAGAAACAAAAATCACAATTATAAAAATAGTGAACAACAACGAACGACACAGTTAAGTGAAATTTAATGTATTAAGTAGAGCAAAATTTTTGAATTGCGAAACCCTTCCATCCCGAAAAAATCTTCCATCCCGAAAAATTCCTTGACCGGACCGGAAATTGAACGCATTGCCAAAGACAATTGCACTACTAGATAGTTCAATATGCTAAGTAGTCTAATAATCAGCTCAACGCTCATCAACCAACGACTCCGAGGCGTATGTCATTGCTGTATAGAGAATTAATAATAATAACTACCTATTACCGGCAAACTATTAGGTACAGTACGATAATAGGGTAATATGGTGAATAGCAATAGGTGTTATAAGTTTAATAATAATATTAATAGTAATGCTAACGTTTTTTTTATAACGGCGCCGGTGGTGTAGTGGTAAGCGTGATTACCTCTCACCCCAGCAGGCCTGAGTTCAATCCCAGTCGGCGCCGCCGGGATGTTCTGAGGCATAACATCTCTGATCACGCCTTCCTTCGGATGGGAAGTAAATAAAGCCGTTGGTCCCCGGTTCATGAGTTGATGGGTCGATAGGTAGGGTCCAGGTGTGGGAGCTGCCTTCCTGGCACGTCGGTAGCATTGGTGCTCAGCACGGAAAACAAGATCGACGGAAAAAAAAACATTTTTTTTATAAAATTTATATGAAATAGTAAATCATCTGCCAAATAAATTGACTAACTATATTCAATCGCCACGTAGATTTGATTGTATGCATTTAAAATCAACATTTTTATCAAGCCAATATTAGCTACCATGTTTTGAGGGCTATCAGCAGAGAATGCCTAATTTATTTAAAAAAAAAAGAGTGGTTTTAATATTTTCAGCTTTACTTAGGGTGTTTAAAACAAACAACGTAGGGAAGTTTAGCGGGTATCTATGCTCCATACAAACGGTTGAATATGTGTCGGAACCCCTGTCTAGCTGCTTAAATCATTCAAAACCCGTCTCCGTAGTTTATAAACAGTCCCTTGGCACAAGCAGCAACATTGTTAGCAAAGCGTGTTGTGATCAGGGCTGGCAAATGTCATTTTCAATGAAAGATCTCACGCGATATTTACAGAGATACTTCTGTCACTATCATCGGATAAGAAAACGATGACAGAGATTTTCTTCAAAATCTCATCGATTTTTTTGTCATGACAGAACGTGACAGTACTGTTATCATCGTGATTACTAGCTCATGTATTGCTATTAAAGTTACTTGTACCAAGGAAATCTTTAAAATATATTCACTCTACCGATAACATATGGTTTGCATTCTCATTCTCATATGACGACCGTGATATTTACCAGCTCTGGTTGTGATAATAGGCTAGCTCAGCGTAATGGGTTTATTTTCAGGGTTTGCTACACTCATTCACTTCGCAAGGACATTACGCATACAATCAATCAACACGAGAATAAAAGGTGAAAAAAAAACAGAAAATAAATTTATTCATAATTTTATTTTCGATTTGAAAGATACATCATACAAGGGGGGGGGGGGGTGTTTCAGTGCGACCGATCAAGAGACGATAGGGCCCAAGCGTAGAGGTAGAGAGATAAAGGTTTTGTCTTTTGGTTACCTGTGTTGAGATGATTGTCAGCTACTCCAACCGGCACTCATGATCCTAGTATCCATGGAGGAATTGAGTGCTACTTTAACTTCACCAGCGTGTGGCTCGTTACGCAGATCTGTAGCTCGGCGTATCTCCTCATTTTTCTCCGATGGTCTGAATGACCATGGAGTAGGGTCTAAATGAATGACGTTCCACGCGCTCGCAAACGGGGCAGTAGCACCTTGGATTTTGAACACGGGTAAGCGGGGGCGAAACCGCCAAACCCTACCAGACCCTCACCACCATAGCTTCGGCTACTGCATGCCCGTGGGGATCGCTGAATCCCCAAACTCTGCAGTATTCAAATTTGCGGTGAAGCTGTAGTTAATGATTACCGTCACAATTTTTGCAGCACGCCTCCAGCTGATATTACATTATATTGATTTTTACGAGTTTGTTTTCATTGATTACCGATATAGATGATCAGGTGTTGACAAAAACGGGAAAGTACTGTATATGGTCAACAGAAAACTTAATAAGCGACACACTCAGCTTAAAAGTCGAATAATGGCAGTAAAGAGGCGTTAACGAGTATGAGACAATAGCTTTTCCCGAATATTATGATTAGCTTCATAAATTCACCGTATTTGTTCGTATACAGTAGAGTGCTTTATATTGTAAAAATTATTTGAAATCATTAAGGCCATCCTCCAGTTTGATATGATGTGATATGATTGATGGCATGATTGATATGATATGATATGTGCAAACAAAAATATTAAGTATGATAAAGGTTTATAGGTCGCGCAAATGATTTAAAATGTGTATGGGAGTTACTATGCAGACAGTTTTTTTTTTGATTTGTTTTCCGTGCTAGGCACCAATGCTACCGACGCCAGGGAGGCAGCTCCCACACCTGGACCCTACATATCAACCCATCAACTCTCATGAACCGGGGACCAACGGCTTTACTTCCCGTGATCAGAGATGTTATGCCTCAGAACACCCCGGTGGTGCCGACTTGGATTGAACCCAGGCCTGCTGGGGTGCGAAGTAATCACGCTTACCACTACACCACCGGCGCCGCTATGCAGACAGTTTAAATTTCAAAAATATTGCTCTAATTTGGTTCTAAACAGTTGTCCAAACGCTGTAAAAAATAAATAGGGGGAATGTCTCTAATGTTGGCCTATGGATCTAAGATTGGGCCCATCGCTAAAAATCTGCTACTTATCAATTTTATCTAGATGAACGCGTCATTGGGACGGTACTAATGGATATTTTTGGTCGCATTTGGTAGCAGCATTGGAACATTTGGTAGCAAAGTTAGACACATACAAATGGGAAAAAATCGACATAGTGTACACCAATTTCATTACAATAACGACCCGCTTTTTGCGGCTTCTGTGGTGTAGTGGTAAGCATGATTGCCTGTCACCACAATAGGCCTGGGTTCAATCTCAGTCGGCGCCGCCGGGATTTTCTGAACCATAAAATCTCTGATCACGCCTTTCTTCGGAAGGGAAGTAAAGCCGTTGGTCCCCGGTTCATGAGTTGATGGGTCGCTAGGTAGGGTCCAGGTGTGGGAGCTGCCTCCCTAGCGTTGGTAGCATTGGAGCTCAATACGGAAAACAAGATCGATGGAAAACAAATCAAGGAAAAAAAAGGCAGGCTTTTTTATCGTTGTCATGACAAACACATATTAAATACTGACATCTTAAACCAAAAATAGGGCGATATCTGGAACGGGACTTGACAATTGGGCAGCGATGGTCGATTTGACACTAGCAATCGTGGAATAAAAATCATAGCCATATGGCAGTGATGGTGGAATCAATGTTGACGTCAATGTCATTGTTAAATGTTTATATTTCCGATAGTAATGTTGAAACATTGAGATCATTGTGTGTTTGAGTGCTGGATACTGTTGTTTGTTTTTGGTTGAAGTAATGTAATTGGATTGTTAGCGGAATGCTTATATAAAACAGCAAAAAAGGTTATTTCCATTTTAATTCACTTAATTAATTTTGGTATCAATGACAAATACCTATTTCGACTAGGGTAGCATTTATGGTCCGAAAGTGAGGATAACAATTACAAACCAATATTTTTGCCTGGAGTGAAAGTTAGGATAATAAACTTTGCAGTTTAAAATGATGCTACGCAAGTGTACGTGTTATTAACGTCATAAAGATCATTTAAAGTTTGTTTGACTTCTGATGTTATAAGCTATTGACTTTCCTTGACTTGATTACGTCCTTACTGGGACTTTACAGTAGCCCTCAACTTAGTATTCTGTGGGCTCTACCATAGTTGTTAATTGAAAGCTTTCAAAGCCTGTACCAGTTTTTGCATTTGTATAATTGTGTGGCAAGTTCAATCACACTCTATGCCCATGAAACTCGAAATATTTTGGGAATCGAACCAAGCCGCGTCCAGCATGGCCTTGGTTCATAGCTGCACTTTTACCGTCTGAGCTAAGAAAAGCCCATAGTTAAATACCATACGTCTACTAAATAAAAAGGAAATTATCAAGAAAAACTTATCTTTTTGTTGAGAAAATCGGATCAAATCAATTATTAGAGTCTCTCGATAAAATCCGGAGTGATTTGAGATTTGGGCGTAATTGCATTTGTAAACAAACACGCCAATCGCCGATTCCTCGCGAATGAAAGCTCAATCTCGAAAACTTATAACACTATGAGGTGAAGAAATTACTCCTCTTTCATTTTGCATAGCTTGTTTACGAGATTGAGATTTTATTCACGAGAAATCGGTGATTGACGTGTTTGTTTACAAAATCAATTACGCTCAAATCTCCAATCACTCCGGAAATACTATCAAGAATTCACATTTTATCCATAACCGAAAACTGTCAGCGACACATCTAAAAACACCAGGCATTATGATCAATTTCACCCCGGTGATCAATTTGCCCCCGGATTACGCTACCTAAGCTAGATTGACTGTTTAATGAAAAAAATCCAATGATATTAATTTACCCCATTTTCCTATATCACTGTAAACGAATATTTTTTACCCCTTATCACCCCGTTTTACGGTATCAGATGAATTGCCTGCTTCATACAGCCTAATGCAACGCTAGAATCTACACACTGTTCAGTCGATTTGATCGCACTGCTCGAAGCAGGTGATAAGAAAACACATTGTCTAACCAAAACGGTCGTCTACAGAAGTGCAATCTAAATGAGTTCATCACTTGAATATATCGCTGCACTTATGCGACTTGTAATTTATTTTATTATATTCAATATTAAAAACGTAATCATTCGGTTCTGGCCATACATTGAGCGACCATCAGTGAAACTAAAGCAAGGTACAGTGCAAGGTGTAACATCGAAACTTCCCAACGGAAAATGCTATCATTACTTCAAAAGCATTCCCTACGCAAAACCACCAGTTGGAAATCTAAGATTCCGGCCACCGGTTCCATTGGATAAATTTAACAGTTCACCGATCAATTGTAGCTCCGATAAAGGGTTCGCTGTTCAAGATTTCATTATATCTCAATGGCCAATCTTCGGTTCAGAAGATATATTGTATTTGAATGTGTTTACACCTGGTTTACCGACTCTGACATCGACCAGCTATCCAGTAATGGTTTATATCCACGGAGGAGGCTTCCGATACGGAACGGCCAGTACCTTTATATACGACCCGAAGCACCTTGTCCTGGAAGGTGTCATTGTAGTGACAGTTTACTATCGCTTAGGACCATTGGGTTTTCTATGCTTGCCCAATGCTGGTATCAGTGGAAACGCCGGATTGAAGGATCAAGTGTGGACATTTGTTTTCATAGTTAAGTCACATTATTATCAATGATTATTCCTACGTAGCTCCTTGCACTTCGATGGGTGAAAGAAAATATTTGTCATTTCGGCGGCGATGCGGATAATGTTACTCTATTTGGAGAAAGCGCCGGTGCTTGGTCGAGCTATTTGCATTACCTATCACCTAACTCGAGGTACGTAATAAATCCGTATATGTAGACCATTTTACAAGTTACAAGTCATGTGTTACACCTCACATTTTTCATGTCATCTAAAATCACGTATTTTCAGTAAATTGTTCTAACATTTAATTTTCTATTCAAGAAAATATTTTCACCGTGTGATTTGTCAAAGTGGAGATTCTTGCTCCAAGGCCATGATTCAAACCGAACCAGAAACCAAAGCAAGGACATTGGCTCGAGTTCTGGGATGTGAATCTAGAAACGATAGCGAAATACTAGGTAAGGCTTCTCGGCGATTTTGATTTCTGAATTATTTTATGCGGTAGCTAAATTTTTAGCGTAATCTGTTTTGCTCACGAGCTTAAAGTACAAAAATAATAACAATGGATCCAACTGCCTTTTCAACTTAGAGTATTTAGTAACGTTTCTCATTAAATATAGGAAAGCCAGCTACGGCTAGCTGCAAATTTTACCAAAGAAATTGAGTTCGTGATAGGGTCAACGATCCTATAGTTGCAGTACGTTAATTGCGTTAGGTTCCTATAGTTGTGTATTGAGTCCCCATGCACAACTATACGAACCTAACGCTTCTAACCTACCGCAACTATAGGAGCGTTTCCCCTAACAATATATCTTCCTTAGTCCCGTTTTCAAACGAATCGTTCTTTACATACATTTTTCTATTTTGTATGGCAAATCCAATTCGATCCATTGCGAGAATATGATAAGGTTGCGAAAGTAATCAGGAGCCGTCATATAACAAGTAGACAGTTTCGCGCGACTGTAGACTACCTTCCCTTCTGTAGGCAATAATCCATGCAAGAGATTCTGACCATAGGGGCCTCATAGCCTAGTCAGTAAAGGCACGGTATTACCAAGCCGGAGGCGGCGGGTTCGATTCCCGGTCCGGTCGAGGGAATCTTTCGGGTTGGAAATTTTCTCGACTTCCCTGGGCATAGAGTATCATTGTGCTTGCCACACAAAATACAAATTCATGCATTGGTATTGGCATCGTAAGCTCTCAATTAATAACTGTGGAAGTGCATTTAGAACACTAAGTTGAGAGCACGCAATAAGCTAATATGCGCTAAGCAATAAGCTTGAAAATGCGAATAAGAAGAAGAAGAATATTCTGACCATCAAGGAAGTTTTTGCCTTTGCAAAACGTTGCTCAGGAGACCAAGACCATCCTGAAGGTAAACAGATAAATTTCAATTTCTCTCTGTGGCGACAATGTGTATATGAACTTCCTGTATAGGCTGTATCTCAAGATGTTCACCATCTAGCAAGTGACAGTATTTGACAGTTTTTCAAGGTTGTTCGGATGATAGGCAAATGAGTTCAGTATTTCCTTGCCACGAAACTCTAGTGTACATGTATTCCTACTGTCTAGTCAAAGTGTCTTTAAAAGAATGGGCCAGATCGAAAGGCCTTCCAGATAGAGACAAGTTAAATATGGATTACTCACTACGTGGTCTTAGTGTAGTTGTGAATCATCTGTACCTGGGAGTGGGTGGAGACTGGCCAGGCCATAGATCCAAAAATAAGCTGTCAAGTGGAATCACTTTTTACACCCTTGCTAACGAGGCTTTGCGCAAAATTCAGCTTGACAGCTGTCGATGGCGATGAAACGATTATTTCTTTGGACGTTTATTGTGCATTTAAAGTCTGGTCCACTTAGAATCCAGACACTTTTTTTATTCTATAGCAGCACCTCTAGTGGTCGGATTTCTAATGTTTTGAGAGCTATTTGTTTTGAAAGTACAAGTGTTTCAGTGGTGAAAGTTTCACCTCGATACGTGCAGTATTACAAAAGTTGTACTAGATGGAAGACGAGAAAAGAAAATTGATCCTGCACACCCACGTCGAAAACCCAACGTGAAAAATTCGAAATATCACGAAAAAGTTGAAAATTTCTATTTCTACCGTATTCTCAAGCAGTTCCGTAATCACGGCCTGGATCAAACCTGGTTCAAAACAAACGTCGTGCTGGAATTTTGGATCGGCAGCTGAACAGGAAGGTATTGAAGTCGATCAAGAGAAACCCAGGACTCTCGGATTGGGATTTCGCCAAACAATATGGTGTCAGCAGGTTACTGTTCATTATGTGCCTCCAAGAAATCGAGCAGGACGATGAAGCAGAATCTAGTGACCAGAACACGCGCCCGGAAGTTGTACGATCGGTTTCTGACGAAGTATATAGGATGCCTTCTCATGGACGGCGAAATCTATGTCAAGATGGATTTCAGGCCGGATTCCGGACAAAAATTTATCTAGCCACAACCACGGGGTGATGTCTCCAGCAAATCTAAGTTTGTTTTCGTCGATACATTCGCCCGAAAAATGACGATCTGGCAAGGAACATGCAGCTGTGGACTTAAAACCAAGCTTTTCATCACCAACAAAACGGTGTACAGGATCAATTTTCTTTTCTCGTCTTCCATCTAGTACTTTTTTAATATTACTCATATCGAGACGAAATGTTCACCACTGAAACACGTTTACTTGCAAAATATATCACTAATAAAACATTTCTAATCCGACCACTAGAGGTGCTACTGTAAAATAAATAATGTGTCGGAATTCTATGTGGACCAGACTTTTGATAAAAATTATAAGTATGTCACTGATTAACACTCTTGATGCTACTGGTGGTATCAAAAAGAGCTGATAAAAGTGCCAACAATAACAAGAACAACAATACAATAATTATAATTTTCATACGGAAGTAAGGTCGCAAGTATCACCTTTTCGTGGTACTTTATGGGAAGTAAGATCTACCACCGATTCCCTAGTCTTGACTACTTCAAACTAGGGGAACAGGATTTTTCAGTAATCAAATGAACACATCTTAGTCCTTGTTACTTTTTATGCCTTGTTGATAGTGATAAGTCCTCGTGTTGCTTGGACCGAGGAAGATCTTGAAACAAGGAAAAAATGAGTTAGTTAGTCTTCTTCTATGTGATTCATAATCTTCTATTCGTTGTTCCCTAGTTTGAAGTGATTAAGACTAGGGCTCTGATGCATGGTCATTATCGGTGTCATTCCTTAATTTTATTGCTAAGGAATCCAATTTTGACTGACAAAGGGGCGTGCCTTTGGAGGGTGTTTCAACACTCCGAAAGATATAAATAGCGGAACTTTTCAATTAGAGATCCTTGCGATAAATGCAATAATGACAACTGTAAAAAATCGAATACTTCATCATTTTTCAATAGTGATGGAGTAATACGACAAGCATTAAACTAAGGACACAGGATATACTACAATAGATCCAAATACTGGTTGCAGTGGTGTTAGGTCCCGAACAGAGGAAAAAAAAAGGTCGCAAGTAGGTTTTAAAGTCGGAATTGAGAACTCCAAACTTTAATTTAGTACTGCCGCTACAATAAGAGACCTACATTAACTAACTACAATCTACATTTTGAAAAAAAAAATTGTTAGCGATCACATTGGCCATACTCTAGTTTGATTCGTTACCCTAAAATATGAGCCTATGTAAAAAATGGTAAAGATTGATGAAGATTTAGAGGTCGCGCAAATGTAACAAAAACGGGCTTTTTGGTCATTGTTATGGCAGCCATATTATATTTTATGGCGTTTCGAGAACTAGAACCAAAGTTAGAGCAATACTTTAAAAATATATGCTGCTTCCACAATAATCCCCATTTGCACGACCTATAAACCTACATCAATCTATACCATATTTCGCACAGGTTCATATTTTTGGGGTTGTGAATCAAACTGGAGGGTGGCCAATTATATAACAATTAAGCACCTAATTTACATCTTTATAACCTATAGATTGGCCCAAATCTGGTCGATCCAGGAACTTCAAGCCTCACACCTTGGAATGGATGTTTGGGGGTCAGTAGCATCCACCCAAAATGTGAAGCCATTTGGATCACGGGAAGTGAAGCCTTTAAGGGTTTGAAGTTTGCATGGAAAATTGGCTAAATTTATGGGAAACGCCACACTTTCATATTTTCACAAATAGCAAAGGTGTTGCAAATAACTTGATATATATCTTCATTGAACATTACACCGGTCTACCTAGAATAACTAAAAAGTTTATATTTTGAACTGACCAACTGTATGGACCACCATAATATCATGCACCTCCATCTTGCAAAGGAAGCATTTATCCCTATTACCGTCATAAAATATATTCTTCTTACGATTGGGGAAATTTAGCTAGGTAGGAATTTCCTTTTTGACGTCCTTCTATACACCACGTACATCTATGTACATGTCAAATCACAGTTCAGCTGGCAAATTCTCCCACACGACACGTTTCACATTCCCTTATTTCCCCAGAACTTACGCTAGTTCGTGGTTAGAAACCTCGAGTGGTAATTTGTACACACACACATATTGAACGTATTTCCCCGTATGTGACATGCGTACCTCTACTGCCTTTCCATTCGCATAATGGAAAATCAAATTTTCCGAGTTAAAAGTCAAGGCATGGAGTATCGATTCTTCAAATTTGAACTTAATGAAAAGTCCCGTATCCTCCTCAATCCGACAAGCACCTTCCATCTGAACTGGATCTGCATCGAATGATTTCACGAAATTGACAATGTCGCCCATTGTCGTAGACCCACTTGTACCTAGTTCACCCGTATCACATTCAATACATAATGTGCATCCCATCGATTCACCACTCAAGCAAGATTGCAAATACTCATCGCAGCTAAACAAATCATTTAAGGAATTATGAACATATTTTTTATTTGTAAGATACAAGAAGAGGTTGCACAGTATGTCTTATGAAAGGTCGCTAGATTTTTTTTTGTATGAAAATTACAACCGCATCCTCATGTTAGCATACTTTCTTACCTGGTATTGAACTAGCCTCAAGACGAAAAAAAATCAAATGATTAGCATAAGATCATATTGAGCAGAAATTTACACTACATTTTCGAACTGTGTAGATCTTCCATCAAGTAAATTTCCTATTTTACGTATAAGTTATAAACGTGTACCTTATTGAAAGATTAATTAGAAGGTCATGATTTTTTATTAAATAGACATTGATTAGAAAGTCATGAATACTCTGTACACTGTATACCACTAATTTAAAAATAAATCGAATTAACTTACTCTTGCATTTTATGTTCTTTTTTTGAAAATGATGAATGTAGACTTTCTCACCAAGTACTCGGCCCGTGCAATCGTAAGTCACCAAGATGATGTCGTCGGACCGCATGAAGAAGGCCTCTTTCGGCGATTTGTATTCAGACCGGTAATAGAGCAACAACTGACTAACGAGAGCATAATCACAAAAGCTCCAGAAGAGCTTCTCAAAGAATTTGACACTCTCCGAATGCCCATTATAACGGGTTGTACCACAGCAGAAGGAACTCTTGCACTAGAATTGAATAAGCGGCGACTGCATGAATGCAACAATCACCCAGAATGGCTTGCGCCACTTTTCTTGAACTATGCTGAACAGTCTGAGCGTGAATCTGTTGGAAAAAAGGTTAAACAGTTCTATCTGGGTGATAAAGATATTGGATGGAGCTCAATAAATGACGCATGTAAATTAATGTCAGATGTCACATTCATTGGAAGCACTCTCCTCAGTGCACAACTGATATCGAAATATCAACCGAATGTAACGCATTACCACTATAGATTTGCTTATCGGGGTCGATTCGATTACATTGGGAAATGCATGAATTTACGTCAAACTGAAGGGGCCAGTCATGCAGATGACATCTTATATATGTTCAGGTAGGATAGATTCAAAGTTGATAATATACGTAAAACATTTACGATCTCGTAATTCCAGTTCGTTATTGCTACCTACCTTGAGAGACGAAAGCGATGAGTACACTATACGTGATGTCTACATAAAGCTGTTCACAAATTTTGCAAAGTTTTCAAACCCCACCCCAAACGAAAGCCTTCTGGGATTCAAGTGGACTTCAGTGAAATCGGTATCGAAAACATCAAAGATGTTTGTTTTGAGCTGCTTGGAAATAAATCAATCGCTGCAAATGGTCCACAACCCCAATCAAAAAAGATTGGAGTTCATGAAGAATTTGATAATGGAATATAATGATAATCTGTAAGCAGTTTTGACATGACTGTAGATTATTTAATTTATGTTTGGTAAAAGTCCTAAAAAATAAAACCTCTTAATATTAAATACAATAATCTAGAATCGTCCTATCTAATTTGCTCTATGAACCTGCACGAGCTCAGCTAACAAATTATTCAACAGCATTCACAATAAATTTTGAAATTTAACAAAACAGAACTGGAACAAATCACAACGAACAGTACCGCAGATTACCACAAGTGTATGTTTGAATAAATAATCAAAATATAAGCCAACCCATTCTAAAGCTCCTCGTTACCTCAAAATCAATCAAAATGTTATTATCAAAGGATTTTCGGATAAAGTATAATTATAAACAGATATTTACAAATATTATTGTCAGCTCCTATGTTTCATATCACAAATAATTGGTATACTTTTTTATCATGCTTCTCCAAAATTCCTTCCTTTCCTGGAATGGATTTCGAATCATCCTCACTTTTGACGTAATGTCCAAACAATCTAAATCAAAGTTCGTAGATTCCGGATTTATCTTCTTCACTGGCAACCATTTGAAATTTGAGCTATCACAATCCGGTGTCGGATTACCGTATTTTGCAAAGTTGGTCCACAGCCTTACAACAGTTTGCCTCATTTTGCTTGCTTCATCCTCTTCCGACAGTTGTGGTAGAAAGGCAGAGTTAAAAAGATAAAAACAATCATCACCGTGCGAAGCACCATGTAAACTATTGGCGTTGTATAACGATTTTGTAAAGTTGAGTCTACCTACATAAGAAAACACGTAATGATATTGCTCCGCATTTGGTTGATACTTTGCCAACCATTCGGCACTCAAATTGGATGTAGTGATAAAGGTATGGTCGGAAAAGAGATCAGTTATTTCATTTACTGTTTGAAGACCGATTGACTTGTTACCAAAGTAGAATTGCTTCACTTGGTCGCCAACAACAGTCCTATTCAAGCCAACTGGATGACCCATCAGTTGTGGCACCAGCCATTCTGGATTTTGATGGAACTGATTCAATCTGTGCCTGTTTAACTTAAGTCCTAGGATTCCTTCATTACTCAAATATCCATTGATTATAGGCATCTGGATGGTATCAAATGACTTCAACAATATCTCCGGCGATTGACTTATAATAGTATCCTCACAGATGTGCTCCTCGATAACCGGCCTGAATGGAAATTTCAGTGGGAATCCCCTCTCTTGGTTACTATTACATTCCAATTGATATTTGGCAATCAAACGGGCAGGCGCTTTTCTTAGAATATCTAAAAAAAAAAGAATATGAAATATGGCACCTCAAAGCATGTCAAAGACACGATTTACAAGATTTTATGTCATGTTTGATTATCGTTAAAAATTCTATGAAGAACATTAAAATGTTTAAAATAAAAGCAAAATGAGGCACAACGCTATGAGGCACAACCAGGGCTTGAAAGGGGATCGCATATCGACTGTGACTGCGTGATCGCGTACGTTTTCTGCATTCAATGTGCGAAGCAAGCACGTCGGTTTGACTGGCAAAATGGCGCAGTCGTTCTGCCTTTTGTTAATTGCTTGTGTGGTGTTTGCCGCAGCAGCTCGGTGGAAGCCGATTTTTCAATTCATTCATTCTCCCGCTTATCGTGCATATGGAAAGTTGAAGCTGCAGAATGACCGGGAGTACGCTGCGTATTTTGTTTTCATTTCTCTTTTCCAATGGTGAGCTATGCTGTACGAGTCTCCCGATTAACGCGGTAGGAAATACATATGTTATATTCACCGCTATAACTCGGCTGTTTTCAAACCAATCGATCTAATTTTTAATATTTGAAGTCTCTGGTTAATACTTTTTACGTACAAAAATGACATCGACTTCTTTCTACCTACCAAGCTAGTCTGGTTCCCATAAATCCGGATTTCTTGTATAATGTTCCAGAACTAAGCATTTTCTTGCCTTTCGCTAGATTTTCGAAGGAATCGATATCAAAGTAGAATCTCCTTCAAGAAACAATTTCAGCTTACTTGAGGACCAGTTTAAGGTTTCTCCCCGGAACGGCCATTCCGGCGCAGGTTCCTGTAGGGCCTCTAGTGGCCATAGAAGTGTTTTGGAAGAAACCCCTACAATATGGGTATCAAAATTCATAAATTTACAGCAGGAGACTGTTTATCATAATTTTGTGATCATCCGATGGATTGTCTCCGGGATGGCCATTCCGGAGTAGATTCCCGTATGACCTCTAGTGGCCATAAAAGTGTTTGAGAAGAAACCCCTGCAATATGGGTATCTAAATTCATGAATTTATAGCAGGAATTTAATTTTACAGCAGGAGACTGTTTATCATAATTTTGTGATCATCCGATGGATTGTCCCGGAGTTGGTTCCCGTAGGGCCTCTAGTGGCCATAGAAGAGTTTGGAAAGAAACCCCTGCAATGATTTAACAGATTTTGCTCCACCTCCACCAAAGCAGGTCCGTCCAGATTATTCTTTTGCGTTTGAGTTGTAATTTGTTTGTAATTTCATACTACAATAGCCCTTCGAGGTTTATATGGCAATTACAAGGGAAAAAAAAGATTTTGTTTTATTTTCTTCGTTTTAGCCTTTTTCCAAAAATGATATACGGGTATGCCTACTATCTTTGCTTATGTAAAATTTGGTGACTACTTTTTGCGAGGGGGACGACTCTATCTACGATGCAGAAAATATTGTGTTTTGCTGTAGCTAGCTACGTGCACGCTGAGTAGATAGAAAGAAGATTGATGACAATTCTGAAGATTTCCTGCAAAAAGATGATGTGCGATGCAAGTAGATGTGACAAATGAAAGAAATTTTTCGAAGATTGATTAGCTAGTGTGAGATTTGTTGAGTATCTAAACTTAAGATTTAGATATGTCGCCCCCCTCGACTTTTTTATAGAACTTTCTCAAATTTTCTCGTAATAATTTCCTTATAAAAATCAAAGAGCAGTATGAGATTGCAACCAAATGGGTTCAAATTTCTGGAAAATAGTCAGAAATTATAATCGATTGAGCATAATCTATATTTTTAAGCACCCTTGTATAGAGGTTAGTCATGGATTTGCTAAATATAATTTATGAAAATTTTCAGCCTGTTGTATTAGCAACCTAGAAAGCTCTAGCGTAAAAAATGTATCGAATTTGAGGGAAAAAACGGTAAAGCATTCGAACTGGGGTCATTTCTTCATTATCTTACAGGTTTGTCCTAATGAAGGGTGGTTAGGGAAATGTTACGTTTATTTTATTTGCGAGTGGGCTAAAGGGTATCAGAGTATCAAAATTTAATAAAATGTTGCCCTTGGTTAGAGTTTATATTAGATGGAAGGAAAAAAATAGAGTTTATCTCAGCGAATTTCAGTTCAACTTTTCGAGGTTTTCAGAACATCAGTTGCTATAAGAGTACATAGCTTGAGAACGAATGCTCTTAGAAACAAGGTTGTATGGTAAAACACTACTTCGGAATATTGGAAAAGTTTCCGTTATACGCTTAAAAAATAATGAAGACAAACAGTGATATCCAAAATATGTAAAGGTAAGAAATGATTTGCCCAGAAATTTAATTAAAAAAGCTGTATGTATGGCGCTGTCGGAAGACTGATTTTTGGGGGTTTGCCGAAGTGAAGTGAGGTATGCTGCAATGGAACCGCACCTTAGATTGAAATGATGAATAAATTAAGGGTGATACTATCTGCTCACCGCTTTTTCTGCGCTTTCCTTCAATCAATTGAAAAACAGCGATGAAATAGTGGTGACCACTAGCACAACACCATTCAATTTGTTGAGGCACTACGGTTGAACAAAAATATATATCTTACCAAGGGTTCTTATGACGATTTGGTCTTCATTCTCAAATTGCACGTTAATCGCGATGCAGAGTCGATCTTCAGTGAAATTAACTTTCCTCTCATCTCATGTGGAATGTTTTTCTGAATTTTCTCAGCATCGATGTTAATGTATTTCTTGGTTTTCCCCGATGAAAAACTGGTACCTAACGCACTAGCTAGCGTGTCAAGAATCGCACGCATTTCGGGCCAGTCAATCGAAGACAAAGGCATATTCCTCAATGAATCGACAATGATTTGTTCATTAATAGCCACGGACGTTTTTTCCATTTTCTTCGATTTTGCTTCCACTTCCTCACCCTCCTTAAAAAAAACCCTTTCCTTGGCCAACGCGAAATGTGTACTGCGAAAATTACGCACAAAATTTCCCGCATCGAAATTCTTCTGGAAATATTTACAACTTTCATCACCACTCAACCTACACCACACACCCACGTAATTTTGCACAACGAAATTCTTCGCCAAATCACGAAACTTCCTCTTGCCTGCGATTTTTCTTTCCAATTTCAACCAGTTTCTTATTAAAAACAACACTGCTAAGTTTGCAAACACCCCAGCAGGCCTGGGTTCAATCCCAGTCGGCGCCGCCGGGATGTTCTGAGGCATAACATCTCTGATCACGCCTTCCTTCGGATGGGAAGTAAAGCCGTTGGTCTCCGGTTCATGAGTTGATGGGTCGATAGGTAGGGTCCAGGTGTGGGAGCTGCACGTCGGTAGCATTGGTGCTCAGCACGGAAAACAAGATCGACGAAAAAAAAAACAAACCCAAAGGAAGTTTGCAAACACTACCTGCGCTAGAGGTGACTGCCGTAGAACTGACTTTTTTTGCAGTCATTCACTGCAGCAGACGACAAAGGGATCTTGACCGAAATGAAAATGTGAAAAAATCCAAACCGAAGCAGAGTGACTAAACGAGAGAGGATTTTTTACGAGAGGGAGCAAAAACTGATTTTTCTACCTATTCGTTAAGCTGTGCATTTGGAAGTATGAATGCGAAAAGCAGCGTGGAGTAGTAGTGAAGTACCGCACACAAAAGACTACATGAAATTGAATGAATGGTTATGTTGACTGCTCATGAAAAAAAGGACAGACAGAAGCCCTGGGCACAACGCAATATTCAAGCAACATCGACTTAAAGAGGTATCGAGGTAGAGTAAGCTTTTCAAGAATTCGACCTTAGCGGAAAAAAATAAAATACCTCAAAACTACAAGCATTTGGATTCAAACTAATTTCATACGCAAGATCCCTATTTCAAGAGTGACAAATTTTCCAACCTCGAACTACAATCTAAGGTTAATATTCTTCACGAAAACATATACAAGTTTCATAAACTCCAGATCGCGTCCAGCCGAAACATCCCGGACTGGAACATTAAGTTGTCTACCTCGAGCCCATCACAGAGATTGATGTCCCCCAGCCCAACACGGAACAAGTGAGCGTTTAACGAATAGCGATCGGGCATGAGGCAAGACATCACGCGTATGAAGTCTCGACCTCCAGCCCTTTGAACCAAGGATACTCGGCACCTTGGGGATGATCGAATATAGCCATCTTTCCAAACTCCCTTCACTCAATTTATTCTGCCTCAGTGCCAGCTGTTGACGATAAATGAAGAAAAACTCATTGTAGGCGATTCGTGAATATCGCCCCCCCTAGCGCCAACCTAGCAAGTGAGTCCACCATCTCGTTGCCCGGAATTGAGCAATGAAATAGGACCCTTGCAGATGTGATGACAAAACAAGAGCCACATGTGACAAGGGCATACAAGCTTTTGAACTTAAAGATAAAGTACTTAGAAGCCCTCGTATTTTCATGAGAACAATTTTTTTATATATACAAAGTATTTTGCATGTAATTTTTTGGTATTATTCTTTGGTATTTTACCTCTTATGTCATGCTGGTCAATAACAAATTATGGTATCAGGTCAGAATAAGGTATTCATTTGTTATTTTCTTCTGCTCGGAAAGAGGAAAAATACCAAAAACTATACCTCAAAATGTTCTACAAATTACGAACTAATACATAATTTAGTTATTATAATACCTGACGGAAACTCATCCCGAGCAGGTGCAAAAGCCTCAAATTCCAATATCAATCTCAATAAGAAATTAACCAGTAATAGACCCCATTTGGCAGTTGTTCTGATGAGTTTATTATCTGAGGTTTGCTAGGTGCGGACGAGCACAGTTCCAACCTCAGGATAACTGATTCATCAAAGAGCTTTTTCCATACAGTAGAAATGGAATTGCACTGTCTTTCATTTTACGGAAAAAGAAAGACCACGCGAGTTGTTGCTCTACGTTGGGCACTTCAACACGGGAGTGAAACATGGATGCGCAACGGAGTATGGGCGCTTCACAGGAACGAATATCTCGATACTTTAAATTGGTATGAATGAGCCTGACATAACCCGAGCAGAAACTAATATCTCGATACCTTAAATTGGTATAGATGAGCCTGACATAAGCGGTAAAATACCAAAAATTATACCAAAAAAAAAATATTCCCACAATACCCTTATAATACCAAATTATGATAATGCAATACCCAAAACAATACCAAATATCAATTTTTGATATTTACGTAGTATTTTGCATGTTATTTTTTGGCATTATTCTTTGGTATTTTACCTCTTATGTCATGCTTATCAACACCAAATTTTGGTATCGGATCAGAATTAGGTATTCATTAGTTATTTTCTCCTGCTCGGGATGCTAATGATGTTTATTCATTTATTTGATAAGGCTCACACGAATAAACTTTACAGAGCCGAGGATTCTTTCTCACTATACAATACATCTTAAAACTATAGTCAAAAGGTACAACACAATAAACTCTTTATCTTCCACTTTCCAAAAAGCCTCCTCCATTAGAACTGAAACCGCTTCCAGTGGTTTCATTATATGGCAATTACGCCAACGGTGGTCACAGCGCTTCCATTGCAGCAATGGACGCAAAACACACTCATCACTAAATGGTTGCTTTCCAAAGTCGACGACGCATCGATCGAAAGGTTAGGTTAGGTTATCTTTATTAGCGAGACTTTCAGCCAGCCGATCGAAAGAAGAAGAAGAACAATGAGGAGAACCACACAATGGTTGCTGCCGAGAAAACAGACGATCGCGTGGCACACATCGAGAGTGACCTGCTTTTGTCGACAGCCGAGTGAACACTGGAAACTTATGCTAGAATGCCATAATTTGTTATTTAAAGGTCGTATAATACCAATTCAATAACTCTTTTAGATTTTATTGTCTCAAAACATAAAGATTTTGTTTGGTTATTTTAGAATTTATTTGATTTTTTACAAAATATCTGTATATAATATAAATATAATATATAATATTATAGTATAAATATAATAGATAACTGAATAATCTCAAAACTAGATTTTATACCACTTAAAATTATAAATTAAGTTTATACAACGAAATCTTTCGTTAATCCACGAATCCATTAGTCGTTATCTGCAACGAAATAGATTCGTACTTTTTATGAAGCTAGTTTCGCTAGAAATGCCACACTCGTGTTGCGAACGAATGATTCATAAAATAAATACGAAACTTTCTTGTCGATAGATAAAAGTACAAAACATTCATATACTCGAAAAAGAATATGAGTGCATTGTACGATAATAATGCAAAGGGCAACGAAAATTTCGAAAAAAAAGAATAAATTGTCTTCCTGATTATAGTTGCATGTACCACCGCACTTCACTTATTTAGGAGGTAACTAGCCTCTATTTCCTTCCGTGAAGAATGATTCCCCCTACCAGATAAAAATCCATCCCTTAATGCCATCACCAATATCAACTTGGCGATTCCACCTTCATGGACACCAGGAATCACATCAGCATCACTCGCAAAAAAAAATGAGCAGACTGCAGTAGCAACAGCTATTCAACGCACAAAACTCTGCACGTCACCAGCATCAGCAACAGGAGCAAAAAAAGAGCAGCAGGTTGCTGGTCCGTACGAAACTAAGTTCGTGTACCCGAGCAGGAACGAATATCTCGATACCTTAAATTGGTATGAATGAGCCATAAGAGGTAAAATACCAAAAAATAATACCAAAAAAATGTTCCCTCGATACCAAATTATGATAATGCAATACCAAACAATACCACACAGGTATTTTTTTGATATCCAAATATAATTTTTTGCATCTCCGGAACTAAATGTTCGATCGGGATGAAATTCATTCTGATTTTAAGCAACATACAAATATGATGGAACCGGTTGCACTTGAATTGGTTCAGCAATCTTCAAGAAAAGTTGGAAAATAACAATATTTATAGTGAATTCATGTTGTCCATAACTCCGGAATCAACTGTCCAACCGGGGGGGAAATGCAATAAGGTTCTTTATGAGTGAGATACTAACAAAATGGAAATGGTTGTACTTGTATCGGTTCAGCCATCCCCACACATGTATTTTTAAAGTACGATTACAATGCTTTTCAGTACATCTACGTGCAAGACAAAAAGCTGAAATTACAACAATCACGCTGTATTGTTAAAGACAAATGTGAATATATTTGAAATATCATATCACCGGTTCCACGCCAAATCGAAAAAAAACTCGACCCTCTCCGGCAGTCACATTTCTACAAAAATTAGGTGTTTTTTTTTCTTTCAAAATAGGGTTTATGCCATTTTTCAATAAATTGTAAGACGAAAACGTCACTTCTGATCAAAATGACGTCTGAGACAAAGTTGTAGAGAGAACAAAGTTTTATAGGATAAAATTATAATGGTATTCGTTTTTTTTAATTTTGAGAAAAAAATCCTATAAAGTGTAAAAAACTAAAATATCTCAAAAAGTATATATTCATATATATTGGTCATAGCGCGCCAAGCAACCGATAAAAAAAAACGTAATTGGCTTCTTCCGATTTGGACCAAATTTGGAGTGGAAGTTTATTTTGGTTTAACTTTTATTATTTAAAATTTTTGAGTCAATCGAAGCACCCCGCGGTCCAGGGGAGCATTTATATTTATCGTGATTTTTAAGAAAGCAGTCCTTTCTTTTATCAATAAATTCGTAACAAATAAAGTTACAATTAACATTATAGGATGTTTTTATGAGAAAATTAGACATAAAATCTAAATATGAATTTATTTTGTTTGTGCAGTGTAGCCAAATATTTTATATTTGCGTTTAAAAAATAAAAATGGAACTTTGTCAGAATAAGTATATTTAGATTTCCATTCTGACAGCCCAATCGTGTTCCCAATATTTTTTACATAAGAAACACTTATCACCAAAAATTAATTTGTATATTATTTTTATTTTATTTTTCTATTTGGTATTTTTATGAGCTTTAAAAAAATGCAAACTATTGGAATATATAAAACTATGGGCACTTGACAAAAATCGATAAACTAGAACTTTTGGTCAATTTTTTGATTTTTTGATAGCACACTGTTTAATTTAATTTATACACAGGAAAAAATGTTTGAGATAATTAAATATGTTATCACTGCAAAAATTAATTTAAAAAGCTTATTAACAAGAGGTTAAAAATATGACCAAATGTTGATATTCTATCATTTTTGTCAATTTTCAAGCGTTCATGGTTTGAAATACTCCAAAAATTTGCATTTTTATGAGCTTTATTTAACGAATTAATTATAAATATTGAAGATACACTTTTTGAGATATTTGAGTTTTAACACTTCTAAGAATTTTAACTCAAAATTACTATAACAAAAATTACCGTGTATATTTTTTACAAGAAGACAACTTTGTCTGAGAGGTCTTTTCGATCATAACACACAATTATGCAAAGGTTCATGCAAATCGGAGAAGTTCAAGTCAAAAATTCATGTGGTCCATTATTACGATAACATATCCGAGACATGCTGAGTCAAAAAATGGTGTTTGCTTTGGTGGTTATTCCGAGAGTCGAAGTGACTTTTGTCACTAGTGAAATGAGAAAAGTCACGTCGTGGTGACGTGACTCTCCATTTGATTTGCACAGAGAGTCACGTCACCACGACGTGACTTTTCTCACTTCACTAGTGACAAAAGTCACTTCGACTCTCGGAATAACCCCCTTTGTGTTTTGGCAGCGAGCGAAATTATACAGTGGGGGACCAAAATCCATACACTTCAGTAATTAATCTAAATCCATACATTTCATTCAAAACGCCTACTTTTTGTATGAGATGTACAGATTTCAATCCTGTACGAATTTCGGTCCGCAACGGGTTGTATTTATAATAGAGTGCCTGCAGAGAGAGCGACGACCAGTGTCTGTTTTTATCATTGAGCCATCACACGCAAGGAGCTTCAACCGATCTTCGATGTCACGAACGGATAATCTATTGTTCCAATGTTGGCGTGTCGTCAATCTCTTTACAGTCACTCTAATGTATATAGCGTTAACTTACCTATCACTTCTATATCTGAGTTTCCTCTGTAACCCATCAACCGTGCCAATTTGCGTGCTTTGCATGCAGAATCTATTTGAAAAGCAGATTCAGTACATGCGTCACCACTTTGACAAATGACACGATGGAAATATTTTCTGAAAAAAAAACGGTTTTACTTACTGATTGGTAAAATATATTCCAACGCACCTTGAATTTGGTGACAAGTAATGCAAATATGTTGACCAACTTCCGGCACTTTCTCCAAACAGGGTCACATTTTCTGGATCTCCTCCAAACTTGTTAATGTTTTCTTGAACCCAATTCAGGGCCAGCCGCTAAAATAAATGTCACAATCATTATCTTCGAAACGTAAGGAATTTGTTGTAGCAATGTACGAACTTGATCTTTCAATCCAAAGTTGCCATAAACTTCTGCACTCGGGAGGCACAAAAAACCAAAAGGACCCAGCCGGTAAAACAAAGTGACGACTATAACGCCTTGCATGACCATGTACTGTGGATCGTACACGAAACTGCTTGCCGTGCCATGCTCAAGGCCACCACCATGAATATATACCATGACAGGGAATTTATTCTCCTCCAAATGCGACACAGCCGGCGAGTATACATTTAAATAAAGTGCATCTTCGCTCCCAGTTACCAACGACTTAAACAGTACGTGTGGTTGAATGAAATCAGTCTTATCAATCAAACACTTTATCACAGGCTTATCGAATCGATCCAGTGGCTCTGGTGGCCGAAAACGCAGCTCTCCTACCGGTGGTTTCGCGTAAGGAATTCCCTTGTAGTAACTATAGGGCCTTCCATTTGATAGTCGGCCCGTTGCTCCTTGCACCTTACCCTGCCGTACTTGCACGATCGGCCGTTCAATTCCGGGACTGTATTGAACTATCGCATCTCTAATAAATTGTTTTACTAACGCGATTGCTAGTTTTATTAGTATGGTTACGTATATAAACATAGTAACGAAAGGTTTTTTCAAGCGAACTTTGCGCGCTGCAGTAAGCAAGAGACCGCGTGTGCCAACCGAGCGCCAAATTATACTGAAACCCGACTTGATTCATCAACCCTGAACAGCTTATTAAAACGGAGCGATTTCAACGGTGCACACCAACACACAAAACATACTGCTATCAAGTTCAACTGCTACCAAGCACAACTTTGGGTGAACAATTCCGTGGTGATAACATATCAATATTAAAACTCTCGCAGAAGCATGGAATGCATTGTCAGCAGCAGTAATGAGTCGTGTTATATACATATTGTTTTTAAATGCATTGATCTTATCTCGTAGTGCATGCAATATTAATTACCCCACTTATTGATCTAAACAACAACGGCGTGGTTCACACTCCACACATCGCATTGTTTCAATTTCTGATCGGCTTTAGATCTATATTTTTCTTCAAATATGTTTAACCTTGTGCTGATTGCATGTTAATTAGTATGCCTTTGAAAATAAAATCATGAAAATAAAATCAATTACATGGAACATTATGTTAGGCCATGCTAATATAATTGATAAAAAAATATCTGAGTTTTTATTCTTATTTTTTGGAAATTTCGTTGATAAAGGAATATTATTGTTATATGTCTATTATTGGTATTTTTCGATGATAAGTTTGGTGCAGGGCAGAAAGTGTATTCATTATCCGTGTATTTATTTAAATATCAAAAATATACTATGTTTGTGGCGGCTGTGGTCACTACCAGAGTAAACACAACGCTACGCGATTAACGCAAAAAATAATAATAAATAATAGGATTCTTTTGAGCTTATCGCGTCGCATCTGCTCTGGTGGCCACTAAAGTTGAGAGGAGCTAATTTAAACGAAAACAAAAACATGTATGAGAAAATTTGCAAAAAAAATACGGCCAACCCCATGGCACAGTGATCTAAAACCGAAAAAACACCATCGTTTGAGATTTCAATGGGAAAATGTGCGGTATGTGGTGTCTTCGGGAAAGTTTCTTGAACTGGAAAGATCCCACTTTTGACGATATATGTTTTTGATTGAGTGAGATGAAAATCTTTTTTTTTTTTCAATTATCAATATGATGCTGGTTTGCAGTGGCGTTTTACAGAATGTGGCACACCATTAATTGATCCACTGCGTTCGCATATGCCGGATGCTTGCTGTGCTCTTTTGGACGGTTTTAACTTTTTCGGGTTCACACAAGCGAATACTTTTCCGAACCGAAATGGACATTTGCTAGATCTTGTCCTGGCAAATGATTCCGCTTTACCGGGCGCTTCTGTTTCCTTGCCGGTCATCCGAATACCGATCATCCCACTCTCGTCGTGTCATTTAGTTTACCTTCGTCGATTGTTTTTCGCCGTCATCAGAGTGCTACTCTTTGGACTTTCGCTAAGCTGATTATGTTGCATTGAACAATGCGCTTGCGGAAATTGATTGGCAATTTATCGAAACAGCCGCTAGCGTAAATGATGCTGTAGATTTTTTCAGTGCTGCACTGGAAGATGCTATTTTCCGCATTGTCCCAGCACGACGACCCCCGCAAAAGCCTCCATGGTCTAACCCACGCCTACGTGTGCTAAAACGTCAACGCTCTGCTGCCCTCCGAAAGTATTGTAACTCTTGCTCGCCGTACTACAAACGACTGTTCAATTTTGCGAGTCGTAGTTATCGAAATTACAATCTTTTTCTCTATAATCGACACGTGAGACGCACGGAACCTTCGCAAGGATCCGAAAAGTGTTTGGTCGTTTGTCAACTCCAAACGGAAGGAATCCGGGTTGCTTTGTTCCATGTTTCTCGGAAATGACTCGGCTAATAACGAAAGAGAAAAAGGTGACTTGTTTGCTCGTCATTTCAGGCAAGTGTTCCACGATTTCTCCGCTTCGCCGACACAAATGCTGGATGCTACTATTGGGATGCCACGTGATGTGTTTAGTTTCGATATTCCGCGCATTTCAGAAGACATGGTTGTAGCCGCAACAAGCAAACTAAAGTTCTCGTTCACCGCCGGACCTGACGGCATTCCGTCATCAGTTCTAAAACGTTGTGTAGCCAATCTCTGCCTTCCACTTGCGATGCTATTCAATCTCTCGGCACAGCAATGTGAGTTCTCCTGCCGCTGGAAACTTTCTTATCTGTTCCCAGTGCACAAAAAGAAGATAAACGGAATGTCATAAATTATCGTGAAATCACCTCCCTGTGTGCCTGCTCAAAAATGTTCGAGATTATCATAAATGATGCTCTGTTTGCATGTTTCAAAAATTATATCGATACAGAACAACACGACTTTTACCCGAAACGCTCCGTCCAGGTACCTGGTGCAGTTTACTTCTAACTGTTTGCGATGCATGGATTCAGAATCGCAAGTTGAAGCTGCGTTTGTGGATCTAAAAGCTGCATTTGACACGGTGGACCATAATATCTTGTCTATCTATCGACCCATCAAACTCATGGATCGGGGACCAACGGCTTTACTTCCCTTGCGAAGGAAGGCGTGATCAGAGATGTTGGTAATCACGCTTACCAACACCACCGCTATAAACAAATGTTGTATGTCCTACAAAGTTCTGCAGAAAGCAAAAGTACACTACTTTATAAAAAAAAATATGTCGCTTTTTTCAGTCCACATTGTGCTCTCTTGACAAGCGGATCTATTTGCTTTTTGCTTAAGGAAGTGTTACTGCTACCTAATTCTACAACAAATTTAAACAGCACTTTCCAGCGCTCAAAATTACCAGGAAATTTTCTACCTTTTCAACTTTTATTCCTCTTTGATCCTTGTTTAGATTCTACCCGAGGTAAACCTACTTGGACATCGCCTTGGAAAATTTCTCTTCGATCCTTCGGACTCTGATGGTAATCTGCTTGGAAGCTGATTCGGAGAAACGTATTACTGTAGCCATGGCCCCTAAACGTAACGTGCAATTGTTTGATCCCCTTCTGATGAAATTAATTTGAGCAATCATGATGAGAATGACCCATTATCCAAGAAAAATTCTAGTAAACTTTCCCGGCTTAGTGCCAAGAAGGAAAAGATTCCCCCTATTGTAATAACCACTTCCGATTTCCATGCTCTTCGCACGGAACTTTTGAACTTTGTGAAATTGAAGTTTTCACTGCAAATTGACCGTCGGTGTGAATGCCGTATATTGGCTGAAACCTTAGACGGATTCAAACGTCTACTGCAGTATCTTACTGAGAAGCAGCACACATTTTTTACTTACGACACCAACACTGAACGTCTGTTTAAGGTTGTCTTGAAAGGTTTACCCAGTGGTGATTCCCTAGATCAGATCAAAGATGAATTGACACAATTACTTGGAGTTGAACCAATTCAGTTAATAAAAATGATAATGAAATCCTACCCTGGCGATTCACTTCGAGTCTAATGAACTAAAATACCTTAAGGCCTTAGAAAAGGTAGCTTTATGCTCCATATCCGAGTGAAGTGAGAACGCTTCAGGAAGACTGGAGGAAATTTCCAAAATCTCACCCAGTGCCGTAGGTGCCTGGGATGGGGTCTAGGAACAAATAATTGCTACATGCCACCTAAATACATGAATTGTGGTGATTCACAAAAGATGACTGTCCTGTGAAGGAAGTTCCTATGAAATTTAAATGTTCAAATTTTGGAGAAATCCACAAATCCAATTTTCGGGAATGTAAGACTCGCAAAGCGATCCTACAATCTTGTGACGGGTATGAAACGCTCCACGTTCACGAACAGGTACTAATTTCTCTGCTGTTGTCAACGAGGAACAAATTCTACACTCGTACCCGTAGGTACAAACAGCTCCCCTGCTTCAAATTCTCCTGCTGCTAACAATGTTCAGCAAGTAAATGGAGCTACCTATGCTGCTATTGCAGCTGGTAGAAATCGAAATCATAATTCTAGTCAGCATAATTGTAACGAAAATGGATGTTTTACTGAAATCATTAATTGAAATGATTACTGATATGCTGAAAACTAACTCCATGTTTCATGCTATTCAAACTGGAGTAAAATTTGCGAACAATATCATCATGACTTTTAAATTCAGTAATGGTTTTTAAATCATTAAATATTTTGAATTAGAATGCTCGATCTATTAAAGATAATCAAGACGTCAAATAAAGGAAAGATTGTTCTGATTATTCAATATCAAAACAGCCCAACATGCTTTTCTTCATCAAGAAATTCCCCAACTATTGATTTGATCTTAATTGATTCATGCCAACATTGTAGCCAATTGGATACTCATGCTGACTTCGGTTCTGATCACCTTCCAGTAACTTTTGAAATATCCCAAGAAATATTTTATAATCCCAACAGCTCTACTTTAAATTACCACAGAGCTGATGAAATTCAATATCGATCATTAATGGAATATGTGGTTA